TATGTCCACTGCTACCCCTGCGTCTAATGATTTGGTGACCTGGTCATAGAAGGCACCGGGTTGGTCTGACAGGACCTGCCGCTAATGAACCCGTGTTGATTGCCCCTAAGCAAAATCTCCCCCGCTGGCCCCTCGTGGCTATGTGCCAGAATAACTTTCTCAAAAAGATTACCCAGGATCGAGGTAAGATTAACTGGCCTATAGTTTCCCGGGTCCTCCTTCCTCCCTTTTTTGAAGATGGGAACCACGTTGGCCCTCTTCCAGTCCTCTGGCACCACACCAGAGCACCACGAGTGCTCATAAAGCCATGCCAGGGGTCCTGCAATGACCTCAGCCAATTGCCTCAGTATCATGGGAGCCAGATTCATCAGTGGGGATAACACACAGGGATATTCTCTTCTTTTTATCCAAATATTAATGAAAAACAACATTGCTATTTATAGAAAACGCCTACAGCTTTTATACCCCGCTGCAACTCCTGGTCTAAGATTTAGGCTCAACTCAATGCAAAGCCTGAGTCTAGCTAAGGTCCAACCTGGCTGAACCTCAGCAAGGTCATCTCCAATATGAATCCTGACAAGATGAATTCAGTCCTTCGCCATTCTGTTGAGGACTCAGCAACGCTGCACTTTACTGTGTACAGGGGTTTTTGGCAAGAGCTTAAAAAAACGTGCTTCTGCATGACCTTAAATCTCCCATGACACTGCTGGTCTAGTGCCTTTGGCCAAAATTTTTCCTTCTCCACTGTGCTGCGTGCTGTTTTTACTACTTTTTACTATTCCTACCCCAGAAGTGGCTGCAATTCAGCAGTTTCCTCAGTCTATAATGTGCAAAGTGTTTATTGGATCCTTTTGTATGAGGAGCTGTACATATGGATGTAAAGTTGTCTCTATCACCCATATAGTGGCTAGTTGTCTAAAAATCTAGACACCAATATCACTATAGTGCTTCTTTACTAATTTCATTTTGCCTTTTACCAAATACCACATATCCATTAGTATTCAGAGACAAGTTTGCCAGCTCTCACAGAGGAGATAAGCCCCAGGTCACTCCTGGTCACTCCTGCAGGAGAACAGGCACTCTAGACCACCTCTAGTACATCCAAAACCCAAACATTTGGTCCACCAGATGTGTTCTTAATTTGCAACTGGCTAAGGAGGCAGCTCATGCTAAGTTCACTCTGTCTTCTTTTAAATAGTGGAGGCAAAGAAAGCTGATAGCAAGCCCTAGGGCTTTGTATTGCAGCCACTCCATAACTTCTCAGTGAAGGCAGGAGGGGAGGAAGGCTCTGCCTATATGCTGGAGGAAGTAAAGGGAATGGACGTACTTGGACTGGAACCTTATGGAAGAACTTGGCTCTTGGGGTTTGCATGGTGGATCTATTGCTTAGGGGTGCATGAAATTGTGCTCTGTCTGGTGCAGGCTAGACATGGAAGCCAGGGTTATGCTATTCCCTTTACACAGCAAGTAATCAGAAGGTGCTGGCAGAGACCAGAAACTGGTCTCTGCCATGTGATCAGACCCTGTGGACCCAAGAGGTATAAAAGCACCTTGTTGCCTTTCCCCACTCAGCAGTCTGGGTGCTTGTATACAGGGTGGCCCATCCAGCACACTCGAAACTTGACGGCAACACGTCCAACATGCCCAATGCAGTTCTGCATTTAGTGGGTCCCTAGCTGACTCTTGGAGAACTGGCAAGAGTCATTATATTCTTTTCAGCTGGAATCCCTTGGTGTGTCACCAACAACACATGGAAAACTCAACCGTAAAGTTACCAAGGCCTCTCTGGGAATGCCAGTAATCCCTTTCACCTTTTCTGCTAACCACATAGTTAGTGAAGGGGAGATTGAGAGGCAGTTTTAAAAGGCTGAAGAACTCAAGTTTGTCAGCAACTTCTGAATTACAAATCAATTCACTCAGGCTCTACCACAGCTACTTACAGCACATGCACATAAGGTTCACAGAATAACAGCAGCACTGAATCGTAGACCCTACTGGAGTTGACTTGATAGCTGCACTCGTCTGCTCAGTCTTTCAAATGTAATTAGGCAATAGAAATATATTTAAATGGTCAAGAGGTCTCTTTGCATAAATACAAACAGATGCATATGACTGGTGAGTATTCTCTTTTCACAGGATGCCGTATGTGAACAGAGCTTACTCTATTAATTAAATCAGCATTTGTCTTGAGGAGGTGAAATCCTGGTCCAAATATATAGTTAATGGGTGTTTTGTCATGGACTTTAATAGAGCTTTATACCTACATTTCTTTAAATGGCAAAACTGGTTGCCTTCTACTAGTCTCTTCTCTTTAGGTTGCTGAGCCAATGCAATTATGGTGGATTTTATTTCGGCTCATGCAGCAGTTACAGAAAGGCTAACTACATTGCAATGGCACCAACAAATTCTAGCTTCCACTCTTACGTTGATACATCCCCCTATAGGCAATGAATAACTGGGGATATAATTTGGCTAGTACAATCACCATTACTTCAGCAACAAACAGATTAGAAGAGACCAGACTAGCAAGTTAACTGAATGTAACATGTAAAATGCCTAGTTTTCTTCTGAAGTCCTTCAGAGTATATCTATGCTTCTTCGCAGCTGTATTAGTGCATGCAGAGCTCCATGTGACTGCAACCAGATTGCTCTGGTGCTTGTCGTAGCTTGTGTATGACTGCACCACATTAGTTCAGGATGCGGCCCACCAGGCCATTCTATCCGGCCTGCGGGGCCCCTAAAAATTTAGAAAATTAATATTTATCTGCCCCTGACTGCCTATCATCTGGCCCTCGATGGCTTGCCAAAACTCAGTAAGCGGCCCTTCACGCAAAATAATTGCCCGCCCCTGCTCTAGTTTAACATTGCAAAGACATACCCCTGGAGGCAGTAATTAAGGGCCACAAAATAATTCCTTTCCACGATGCTTTTCAGAACACAACCACCTTTTCAAAGCCTTAAACATGATTCTCTCTCAACTTTTCACATATATGCATATAGAAAACCTTCCACTGCCTGCATGTAAATCTGTATCCCAGCAAGACGGTATACCTACCCATTCCTCCCTTCTCCATAAAGCAACAGTGATAATATAGTAACATCAGATTAATCAAAACCCATGGAATTTCCTGTGTTGCAATCTGCAGCACTACAGACCACATGAACCCTTCAGACTTGATCATTTCCCAAACTCAAGAGTCTAGTGTATATCTATGCAATACAAATGATTAATGGGAGAGGGATGGCTGGGATGTTGTCTATACAGAACATGCAACATGAGTTTAGAAAAAGGAGTTATTTTGCACTCCTCAGGTTAGAATATTCTCCAAATTAAAATAAAGGAAAATGTGTTATTGTCTAACAGGTCAGCTCACCTGTTGTCTAACAGGTTAGATCACTAGCTCATACAAACTGACTTAGTTCTCCTGACATCAGCTATGTTGATTTATACAAGCTCAGGATCTGGCTCATTCATATATCTATATTTTGTCTGTTTGTTTGCTTTTGCCTTCTCTTTTTTTTAGCATTCATTGAATGGTTTCCATATGCATACAACTCAATCCTCATCATGCACTTACCGACAACGGTGAGGTTGACTTGCGCTTGTCTGCTGCCTACTTTGTTCTCTACCACTAGCGTGTAGCACCCACAGTGCTCTTGCTTTGTTGAGGAGATTGTTAGCTTGCTGCTGTTTTCAGCATTCTCAATTTTGATGTACTCATTTTCTTGAATCTGCCAAATTAAACAGAAAGATCATCAAAGAGCTATCACAAGCGGTGGTCTTCGCCTCTCTTACAGGAAGGAGCCCACAATTAGGTTAATTACATTATCAAAAGATGTCTGTAGTTGATGCCATAAAGGCTAGGGACAGAAATTACATGTAAACCAGTACAAGGGATCAGACACTGGTTCAAATCTGTAACACAACAGAAGCTCAGTGCACATGAACTGCTTTCAAAATGGCTGAAACTGGTTTAAGACAAACCTGGATGGATGTACTATCAGACTTCACTGATTTAGGTTAAGTCAGTTTATTGAAATTCTGTCCTAGGTCCCCTTCAGATTCAAGTTAACTCACAGACCCCCAAGATCCTAGAATGCTTTGCACCACCCCCACAGGCCACATCCCTCTAGGTTGAAAATGACCCATCCACTACCACTCTCTGGGTGCGGCCCTCCAGCCAGTTGGCGACCCA